TTTAGTCTAGTCCAGTTTAGTCCTATAATAAAAAATGGTGCAAAAACATTTTTTAATTATAATTATTTTAAAAAATGTTTCATAACATTTTTTTGTTAAATAATTAAAATAATATTGCAAAAAATATTTTTTTAATTGAAAAAATATTTTACATTTTTTTAATTAAAATTTACTTTGAAAAAATATTTCACAATATTTTTTCATTAAATTAATTAAAAATGGTACAAAACTGTTTTTTTAATTAAAATTATTTTGAAAAAATATCTTGCAATATTTTTTCATTAAAATTTGATTTACCTATGATTGATAGAAACATAAATTTAAACTGAACACTAAAAATATAACACTAAAAATACTAAAAAAAGTAATAGTATCACTAAAAAATGTCTTTTATTATCATACTTTCATACTTTGTACTATGTTGCAAATTTTTAATTTATTCTCATGATTGTCAAAAAAAAAATAAAAAGTTAATATTTAATTAAAAAAAAATATAAAATGTAAAAATTATGAGTAAAAAAAAAATTAATTTATTATTTAAATGCCATAAAAAATTTTTAAGAAATAAGAAAATTTAAATCAAGGATAAAAATTTAACGTATAAATAGTACAGCCATGTGACTTTATAAAGATATTTTTAGAATCAGGGGACATAAACAAAAAGTGTTATATACATAAACAAATTTAAGGTTATACCTGATCCTTAAATTTTATTGGCCATACACGTATGCAGACAGACAATACTTGTATGGTTTGGAGTAGTATGGAAGTGTCCTACACTTATGCTTAGACAAAAATTCAGGAGAAATTTTATTGCAAAAAATAAACCAAATAGCAAAATTTTACCAATTAAAATTATCACAAATCATGTTGTGGTACTAAGTCATGCGATGAAATTTAAAAATGCCAAGAAAAATATTAAGAAAAAAATTCTCACATAGTAATTCACAATAAACGCTAAAATTTAATATACTGTGTCTTAAATATTTATTATTCAATAAAAATTAATTCACTTATGAAAATTACTCAAATATTATTGTCAAAGTGATGGTTTTTTAGTTAAAAACAAGTATAATTAACATATAAATAAAAAAGATTTAAAAATAAAAAATTTAACCTAAAATAATCTATCTGCTATATAAATTCTATCTTCTAAAAAGCTATTATTACCTATTGTTCTAGTAATTATATACTATTTTTTTTATATTATTGTTATCCCTTAAATGGTAATGCAAGCAAATTTGCCTGCAATTTTTAAAATAAATTATATTCAAATACAAACTTTGTCAATATGATTTGGATTATCCTATAATTCCACAGTCATATTGATTTACATTCTTAACATCAATTGTATAGTTTAATATATGGCTAATTACCAAAATTAGATACAAATTAACCTCAAAAAAAATAACAAATTAATTTTCTTTATCATAATATTCTACTTCATTACAAAGTATTTTAATACAGTCAATCCTTATTATAATGAACCCTAGGTTCCAGACCTCAACTTCGCTATAGGGCTATAGTGAAGATTTTAAGAGATTTAATTGGTTAATTCGTTATAACAAGGGGAAATTTATTATAGTTGTCTGAAAAATTCACTATATTAAGGGTTCGCTATATCAAGGTTTGACTGTATACTTATTTATTTTTATTATGAAATTTCAAACCCTAATAAACAAAATAGAGATGATAAAATTTAACTTTATACATTTTTTTACAAGTTCACAAAAATAATTTTTTTTTTAAAATTCTATGTAAATCAAATTGCCAGTTCTAAATATTAAAAATCATAATAATAAAAGTTGTTTCCCATAACAAAATCTACATATTCTATTAAGCTTTATTATAGTCATAATCAAATTCCAATAAGATTGTTAAAGTTGAATGCAAAATTTTCAAAATTTTTTGTCAACTAAAAAATACAACTTTTGACCAATAGTTAATCTTCAATTTTATAATATAAAATTAACAAATAATAATTTTTGTCACATAAATTAAGATTTAAGCTCTTTGCAAAAAAAAATTTTATTAAAATGACTTCATTTTTCATAAAATTAGATAAGAACTGAATTTTTGGTAAAATTGCAGAAAAATTTGCCTGCAATGTCTTATCATTTTGCTAAGAGTTTGTGTGATGCACTCAAATTGAAAAACTAAATAAAAATATATATACCAAAACTTCCACTATTTGAAATTAATTTACAGGTTACTCTTCATAAAAATAGAAAGAGATTATATATAAACTAAAAGCAAGAGAAAATACTAGAATTACTTATTATTTCTCTAATTGTTTTGGTTAAATATTCTTCTGTTGGTTAATAACTATTTATTCTTTGGCTAATTGTTTATTCTCATTCTATTTAGTATATTATTCTTCTAATCACGTGATTATCTTGGTTTCAAGGGTTACAGCATTAATAAACTATTTATTGATATTAAAGGTATAATTTTACTACTATTTGACATATCTCAGTAAAACAATTCAATGAATCTTAATTCATTTATATATGATCACTAAATGGTGAATAATGTTAAGTTTTGCATTTTTTAAAAATTTTTGAATATTAAAAATTGAAATACTAATAATTTTAAATTAAAACTTTATATTTTTTTTTTCTTTTTTTCAGTTTGTTTAAATTGAAATTTCTTTTTATTTTTTATTTTTTATATAAATATTAGTTTATTTTTTTAGATACACTTTCTTTTATAAGATGGATAAATAAAACAGCTGAACAGGTAAATGGAATGGGTGATATGTATTAATTAAGAAATGTTTCTAATGTTCTTTTTTCTTTTTGTAAATATCAGACTCTTGGAATTGAAATGAGATAATAGGTAGTTTTTTTAATTTATTTTTAAGAAATGTTTTTTAATGTTTCTTTTTCTTTATTATAAAGACATCAGATTATTAGGGTTGGCTAGACTTATGCTAAAGAGATAAGAGGTGGTGTATTTTTTTTAATTTATTTTATGAAACATTTTCTAACATTTTATTATAGGGATGCTGGCTTTTTTTTTGGGATGAATGGGACAGGTAAATAAGGGTGGATGGTATATATTAATTGAAGAACATTTCTAATGTTCTTTCTTCTTTTTGTAGAGACTCCAGACTCTTGGAATTGGATGAATTGGACTTATCTTAACAAGATAAAGTGGGAGTGGTGTTTTTTAAATTTATTTTTAAGAAATGTTTTCTAATGTTTCTTTTTCTTTTATTATAAAGATGTCGGACTTAGAAAAACGTTTATTTTTGATTTTTCTAAAAATTTTTCTATTTTTTATGGCATTAAGATTGCGACATTAAGACATTACGGCAGAATTACGATATTACGGCAGAATTATAGTATTACAACATAGTGCAGCAAGAGTCGTAAAATTCCATGTGCCGTAATATTACGTAACATTTTTTATAAGGTAAAATTATAAGACAAGAAGGGTTGATAAAATTACTAGTAATTTGAAATTTTGTCCGGAGACCTTTATTAGAATTTAGAAATAAGCGGGGTCCTGCTGACATTCAAGTCATGAGAACCTGTTAGTGATAGTCATATTATGTGGTTATTAGAAGAGCCAAATTTAGGAATAGATAGGCCTTAGGATATAATAGTTATTAGAAAATTTCATCATGTATTTGTCTCGATCAAAATTGTATTACGAAAGACAATTTAGAAGAGATGAAAACAACGCGAGCTAAGTTATTAAAAAATTTGACGCGTCATTTAGTATCGTGTGATTTTAAAATTTTTGTAAATCACCACCACGTGTATTATTGGGTAGTGAAGTCACTCACTCAATTTTCGCGCAAAAATCGAATCAAAGTTATAGCCCATTAAGAGCTTTATCAAGGAATATTTACTTGAACATAAGGTGGAGTGGAATACTGTAAAAATGAAATGTAATGGCAAGAATGAACAGAGATCTTATTTTTACATATTGCTAATTTTTTGCGCTTCGGAATAATGCAATAGATCTGAAATTACCACTTTTCGGGAAAGTTCTCTTTTAAAGTCTTTATATGTTTTGCATGGGCGGAAGTGAAGAAGATAATTTCGAAATTTTGATAGCAATAGAAAGGATTATATGGTGGAAATTATTGGATATTTTATTTCAGAAATTCAGAAAAAATCAATAGTTATGCAAGAGATTAAATATATGACATGCTTTCAAGGGAGAGAAGAGAGTACGCGGAACCTCTCTAGCATTTTTCGCATTTCCTGAAAAATTAATAGTTTACTTTTTTTAATTTTATATATATACTAAATTATTATTATATTACAATAAATTTATTTTTTATACAAATTTTTTTTATACAAATTATTAGTGATTATGAAGTTGAAATGTCTATTTTATCTTCTTGAACCTGAAATACACAATATTTCTACTTTTTTCTCTGCGAGTTTGCGATAAATTCTTTTGAGCTTTTCAACGCAATTTCCGGCATCAGAACCGATGTAGTGTAATAATTTTTACTCCTCTGCAACATTATGAATAATAAAAATGACATTAGAATATAAAATATTTGAGCAAAATATGTTCCTTATCTCACCTAAGAATAGGAACGTATTCAGGCATTTCACGAGTTCCAATCACTCCCTGAAGCGCCTCAATAATTTTGCTTAAATTGATCAATCTTCGAAGATGATAGATACGATCTCGCTTCAGCGCTAAGTTTGAACTTGCGATGTCGACGACTTTTGTACAGCCGTTTGAAGGCCAGCAAATGGCAATGACTATAGTTGTTCAAATTTCATATTATATAGAAATTTTGAATTGTCTGTGTTGTCTGTGTTGCTAAATTTTAGCTGATATATACACGAGGTCTGATTGCATAGTAACCTGTAATGATGTGACGACAAAAATCAAAAATTTAATAATATATAGCACATTTTGATAGACATGAGAATCTTACCTAAAATATATGGAGCTGGGTCATAGATCCATATAAGTTTGCTCACAAGTTCTTTTTTTAGAACTGCATTGTTTGTAAGCGATTTTTCCTATCTTCTAAACGGACAAACATTATCGATAATTAAACCACAGTCGGGGCGATCACTCTCAGTGCTCGTGCCTTTAGCGCTATTTTGGACAGATTTACTGTCGTATATGAGGAATTCTAAAGGTAATTGGATGTTATTACCCCATAATTGAACGGAATATTCTGTTCCATCTTGTTGAAGTGGGTTTTTGAAAATAGCGGATCCATAAGAGCTGAAAAGCACTTTCCGTCTCACTAATCCGAAATAAGATTCTGAGATCATGAGCACTGCAAGGATTATTAAGTCTGTTGAAATCAAACCTTCAAATTCATACTGAAGGAGGGGTATCTTAATATTTAGTTTTCTATCAATGTGGTCTTTAAGATATTTAGCATCTGGAAGTGTCAACCTGGTTTCTTCCTAAATTCATCGAGAATTGAATGCTGACATCATGGACTATGAATGCAGAAAAGAAACATTGTAGAAAATGATGGAATAAAATGGTAATGCAAATATAACGATAGTTTCTATTACGCATTCTCCTCTTTCTTCCAAGATCTAATGGTTGTAAAAAATGATGATAGTGAGTTTATTAGCAGATATGTCAACAGAAAATAACTGCAAATTTCTTGTTCGAGAGGTAAAACGTTGGGAGACACTTACCAGTGGAAGTGGAAACAATGACGACATAAATGTCCCGTGTATCAGTTTCCTTAGCCTTAAAATAATCTTTCAAGCAGGAATCGAGGGATCATCATTTCGCCTCCAAGTTTACTTTTGATGCCATCTACAGTAAATTCTTTAAGATTGTCTTTTTCTTCATCAACCTTCTTACTGTCAACTTTTCAAAGATCAATATATTCAGAACTTCAAGCTATATCTTTTATGAATTGCCTACGAAAGAGCTTCTCTTTTAAGTGTGAAACTTTAAAATTGGGGAACTTGATTTCAATATTATCATCAGTATAATATTTTTCGTGAGACTTTTTTCGGAACTTAGAATCATTTTGTTCCTGTTAAAAGCGATTAGAAAATTTGAGAAAATTTGAGAGAAGTCTAAGGTTTATATACTTTATATACTTTTCTGAATACATCGTGACAGTTTTGTGGCTTGTAGTGACGTAATACAGCAAATAATATAGATACTCCGATGAAGCATAGTAAAAAAAGTAATTTAGTACATGGAAAAAAAACAATTAATATCAATTTAGATGCGATTCTCAGCGGTATTTATTAAAAAAGGTTTACATAATTTTTAGGTCATACGATTGACCGTATTTGACTCTAATCAGTGTGTTTTTAATTAATAAAGCGCAGTAATGCTCCTGTGATGTTACTCTGACCACCAGCCGTTTGATTATTTTTTCTGAGCCTAAACATTATGGACTTGTTTAAAAGAAACCGACATATCGCAGTTTGAAAGAAGTGTTGAAGAAAAATACGGACGAGACATTTCGCAATTAAGGTATGAATGAAGAGTGATTAAAAATCACCAGTCACGTGATTCGATAAATTTGTTCATAAATTTGCAGTATAAAGGATTTTTACTTATAAATATATATGCATATTACTTTAAAATTAAAAAGTAAAAATTTTATATAAAATTTTATACTGAATTAAAAGTTTAACTAGTATTAATAAATTTAATTAGTAAATATAATTTTAATCTGAATTTTATATAAATTTATATTATTATCTTAATTTCAAATTAATTTAATCTTAATTTTAATTTAATTTTAATTAAAGAATTTATAAAGATACCTAATATTATTTAATATAATTGAAATTTTAAAATAGCTTTAAATTGATTTTTAAAAAATGTAATTTAGCAAAAATTTTGAATTTGAATATTTTTTATATATAAAAAAAAGTATTAATTATATATCTGATATATATAATTTAATTATTTATATTTTAAGTTAAAGAATTTAAATAATTTCAGATATAATTTTAGCTATTAAATAAATTAAGTTATTTACTATAAAAGATAATTTTGGATTTCAGATTTAATAAAATACAGTTTTACTATAAAAATTAATTTTAAACCTATTTATAATTAAAAATGAGTTTTGCTAACTTGCCCTCTGAGTTAAATAATTTGAGTTAAATTACCCTTCTAAAATTTATATTTTACATCAATATTTTTTTTTTTAAAAAAAAAATTATTTGTATTATTATTCATTTCACTTTATATAGATTTTATTTATTTGGATATTATAAAGTATAATGACCAATTTTTCTTATATTTTTGACAATATCTCTCATTTTTTATTGTAATCATAATTTACATTTTTTTTTGAAAATTTGGGTAAATTATATAAATTTACTAGTAGGTTAAATCATCCAGGTTAAATTACCCTAGGTTAAAATTAGTCTTATACATTAAAAATTTATTATTATAATATTATATATTGGATATTGCTAAATATTACCAGTGATAACGGTCATCAGTAGTAGATTTATGATATAATACCAGTCAGTGTTTTATTAAATTTTAATTCAAAATAAAAGTACATCTTAATACTAATATGATATTAATCACTGCTAGTGAACTTTAGCAATTTTCTTATATATTTATTAAAATAAAATTAAAAAAAAAAAATAATTATAATATATTACTAAAATTTTTATATTATATATTGTAATTATTTTAATAATTAGTAATTAAATTTTAATAAATTTAAACTTAGATTTATTTTAATAAAAGGAATTTAATTAATAATAAAATTGCATTATATTTTTAGAAAATTTCAAAGTTTATATGGGGTGTTTGTACACGGGTCATATAAATATAATTTTTAATAAACTAATTTTTTGTTTTTTAATTTGAAATTGAATGCTACTGACATTATACTCTTTTACTTTTTATTCTTATTATATTACAGATAAATATATGTATTTTCACCTGCTCTGCAAGTTTACTTAAGGCATTAAAGAAGGTTTTGAATGCCGTTTTTAATATACTAATATGACCCGTGTTTAAACACCCCGTGTACAAATAGAAATTGCCATATTTTTAATATTAATATTATATAGTAATATTTTCATAAATATACAATATATATCTTATAATTAGTAAGAATAGGATTTCATTTACTATTAAAATAGATTACCCTATGGCCTAAAGTAAGGTTTACATATAAAACTCTTTAAAAATCTTAATATAAAAGGAAATTTTATATTATATTATTATGATTTTTTCTTTTTTAGTTAATTAATCAATCAAATTTAAGAAAATTCTAAAGTATTTATATAAAAGTGAAATTTCTATTAATAACATATCTTAGTAGTGGATGAAGTTCTGCAAGAATCCTAAATAATACTGATATAATTTACATTTGAGTTTACTTAAAATTTATATTAAAATTTTTCAAAAGTTATATATTATAAAGGTATTTTTAAAATTTCATTATTCTATATATCTATGTTTTTAATATAATCAGTAATTTGATTTTAATAAAATTTATATCATTGGATTTGTCTTAATAAGAGAATTTTAATAATAGTAAAATCACATTTTTAACTTCAATATTGAATTATATTATAAAATGTATTTTACTTCAGTATTTAAAGTTTATTTGTAAGTTATATTAGTATTATTTGGAAATTAGGATTCTCATATACAATATATTTAGAATTTAAAAAATAACTAATAAAAAGATAAATAATTAAAAATTTTACAGAACTTTTAATTTAAAGTTTCTTTTATTTATTTAAATTTAAAATACTATATAGGATTCTACTTACTATTAAAATAGGTCACCCTGTAGTCTAAAGTAAGGTTTATATTATACATACTGCCCAAATTATTTTGGGATGCCATAATTATAATTTGGGATGTTGTAATTCATTCAGTTTATATAATTTACTATGTAAAGTGCTAAAATAATTTGGGATGTCATAATTGAATTTGGGATTTTACTTATAATTATGGCAGCCCAAAATAATTTGGGTGGCATATATAGTTTATATATAAATTCTTTGAAAATTCTACTATAAAAAAAATTTTGTGTTACATTATTAATTTATTATAATTTTTTTCCTTTTTAGTTAATTAACCAATAAAATTTAAGTAAATCCTAAAGTAAAAGTGAAATTTCTACTAGTGACATATCTTAGTAATAAGCAAAATCTTTATTATATACTATTAGGGTAAAACGTAATCTAATTAATTAATCAAAATTATATATGTTAGTAATATTGATTATTTTATTATAATCAGATTTTTCATGTTATATAAATAATCAAATTTTTTTTAAAATTTTTAAATTTGTCTATTATATTTTTTTAAGAATTAAATTATTTTTTTGATCAAATAAATTATCAAATAATATATTTGCTTTCTTTTCATGATTATTATCTTTAAGATTTTTCTAAATAGCATTATATTACAATTAACACATTTTAAAATACTTTACCACATAATAAAAATATGAATTTACCTTCAAATTTTTATAACAAGTTTATAGATGGTTTAAAAATAAAGTTACATTCAAATATTTTTCTTTATTTATCAACTTTAGAAATTTGGTGCTTTATTAGTTCAAATTATCTTTTAAGCAAATATATCAAATCATTTTTAAAATTTTTATAAAAAAAATATAATTATTATAAGATGATTCTTAAAAATAGTTTTCAACTAAAAGTAAATTAAAAAATATACACAATATTTGCAAAAAAACTTTTAAAGTTTTAAGTTTTATTTTATAATAAATTATTATAAAAAAATTTATTTATTAATAAATTTTATAGTTTTATATAATATAAAATCTATTTATAGTAAAATAATTAATGTTGCTAACATAGTTTTAATTAATTAAAAAGAAAAAATTTATAAGTCAAAAACTATTTTAATAACTTTAAAAATTAAACTGAATTAGTTTTAAATCAGTTCCAAAAAATCAGTTTAAAATATAATTAATATCAAAATTATAATGATTATAAACTAATTATTGATTGTTAACTGATTAAAATTTTTTTTAATTTATCATTAACATATGTTTTACTTATATCTTTAATTTGATACATCATATTTTTCTTAATAAAAATTAAAGCAAAACTGATGGTTAACTGAAATGAAACTGAACAAATTATTTTCATTCCTACTTATTAGTGACTTATTTTAGTAATAAATGAAATTCTATAGTATTCTTTAAAAAAGAAGTTACATTCTTCATTGATTTTACTATTTAATAATAAAAATTTATATAATAGGAAAAGTATAGGTAGAGCTAAACTTCCAAAATTTGCAAGTTATCTGAGATTCTGTAATCTATAATATATGGTATTTTTAATACATTTTAAATCAATAGAAAATAATATTTTATAAATTATTTATTAATATCTAATATAAATTTATTTAATTTATTTATTTTTAAAAAAATTAATAATAACTAAACAGCTATTAATATCTCTTTAATCTTAACAGTAGAGACTTATTTGTTAATTAATAAGTATAGTTATATTTATTATAATTGAAGGATATCTAAAGTGAAGTTAAATTATATGATTTGACATAATATACTACTAGTTTAATACTTTGATTATTTTTTTTATAAATTAAGATTAATATAAATTTAAAAATTATAAAATAAGTATATTTTTAGCTTGTTTTACAAGTTTACTTAAAAAAAAAGTAGATTTTAAATACTGTTTTTGATTTTACATATAAGCAAATAGATTTTGGTAAAATGGATAAATAAATTTTTAATAAAAATGAAAAGTCAAATAAGTCAAAAATGGCATTTATAAACTTATTTTATACTCTATAATATATATTTTGAATAGGTTATATATATATATAGGAAAATTTTTTCAAAAAAACAATTTTGTTCAAAATTACATGATTTAACTTTACTTTAAATATCCTCTATAATTGGAATATATTATAGAAGAATTTATAATTTATAATTTAGAGTTTATTTTATATTTCTTTAATATCTTTTTAGAAGATTATATACTGTAGCTTATTTTTAGTTTATTTTTTATAAATATAAAGTTGCTATACTATGTTTACCTTAAACAGCTATTATTGATTGGCTAATATTCATATAAATGCATTTATAGAGGATATTCCAATATATACAAGATTCAGAATCGTTTGTATATGTAAAATATAAAGTGAATGCACTTTACTCTAAGTTCCAAGCTTAAAACTAAATTATAGAATGCATATAGAGAGGTAAGCACCTACAAACAGTGCACTTATGAAAGTATTATTGTATTATTTATAAATTAAATAAAAGAGAATTTTAAAATCAACTATATTTTTAAAATTACAAATTCCTAAAACCTGTAAGTATAATATTAATAGAATAGAATTCAACTAGTTGAAAATAATACTAATAATAAATATATTTGATTTATTAGATGTATTTCAGATTGCTCTGCTTTAACAGATTTAAGATTTAAATACTTATCAAATATATTACATACAAATTTTCACTTTTGTGATCATATTATGTATGTGACAAAATAGGATTTTGCCTAATGAAATAAAAAAAGGAGGGGTTGTAACACTGTAACACGGTGACAAATATACAGTGTATGATCACACGAAAAGGTTTTATCACAATCTCGTTTTTTATTATATACAGTACATTAGAAATTTGCTTTTAATCATTCATTTTCTTATCATTGCCATGTCTTTCACTCATCACTAATTCGAAATTGATCTATTATTTTACCGCATTTCGTCGTATTAGGTAAAAATATTTAATTTTAAGTGGGAACGCACTAAGGTACGCAACAGTAGTCGATGGTAATTGAAGTATAATTTGGACTCCCAGGCGTCGCGATCATTTTATAGACAATGATTTCTATTTATATCATTAAATACAATTCTTGAATAAATTTATACAAAAAAATTTTTTTATTTCGTATCGAAATTTGCTAATACAGCAACAGCTATATAGCATCTGTGATATCGGTCCTTTATCACAGCTGATAATTCATTTCCACGCGATATAAAGTTTTCTTCTACTTTCCCGACAATTCTTAATCTCTTTTCCTTTTTCCTTTGACCATATTTTAGCAAACTCTACAAATTCTTTATAATTATTAATATCAACCGAAAAATCAACATGAAAATATTTTAGATTTACTGTACAATTCTCTAAAAAGTATCTATATTTGTCTATGCAACAAATCAAATTAAAAAAATTAATCGCATTTATTCGATCTGGTAAAACCTTTACCAAATCAGTGATAAATCCAGTATTAACAATAGAAGTATATGGCAATGGAATTACCAATCGAAGTTCTTCAAGCTTTGGAGAATTATTAAGGATAGTGAATATGTATGGAATATCACTATCTGCAGTGATTTGCGTAGAAAAAAAACTAAGATTTCTAAAATTTTCACCAATTGATCCTAAAAGATGATGATTTTCTATAGATTCATTTAATAGACTGAGTTCACGCAAATCTAGCGATATCTTTTTATTTTGAAAAATCGCTTGAATTGGATTTGTTATTCTGTCATATTCTTCATTGCTACAAACATCAAATAATTTCAAAGTACATAACTTTGGTAATTCTGCTAAAGAAATCTTTTCAAAATTCTTGGAGGTAACATATGTAGTATCCAAAGATAAAATTTCCAAATTTCTACATTTATCAAAGAATTTAAATGTTTCATCGTTTGTAACAAGTATTCCACGTATTTTGATTTTTTTAAGAGAACGAGCAACTAATTCCAAAGATGAGAATATTTCAAATATTGTTGCCTCATATTCTAATTTTAATGAGTTAGCAATTCCCGAAATTCGTAAATTTTCTAGATTATTCTGATTTTTTATTAATGCTACAAGAGGTTCTCTAATCAATTGAAAATAACGTTCTTCTATTTTTATAGTTTTTAGTTGTTTGCAAATGTTGGCTAAAACTTCTAAAATAGAAAGTTTAATAGTTAATTTTCCAAGTTCTAAATATTTTAAATTTGCAAATAATGCCTTGATATCATCCGCATTTAAGAAACAAGAAAAAGAACTTTCAATATTAATAATTATTCTATAGCGACTTTTGATCTCTGAAACTTCTATACGCTCATCATCATCAGTATCATCTTCCTCATCACTGTCATAATCAGTAACATTTAGAAATCTTTTAATATCATTGTACTTGATGTCTATTTTAAGCCACAAGATCTTTGGTGTTCCATGTGATATAACAGTTAAAATAATTAAAGTTATAACTAAGATTTTACTTAGTTCTGAATCATCAGACATAGTCTGAAATAAAGTTGATTCAGATCTTTCAAAATATCTTTTTTCAAGAAAATCTATAAAATATTCAAAATCTTCTTTGTTATTTTCAAAATACTTTAAGACAATTCTAAAACAGCTACTATAGTCTAAGTGAGTAATAAAACGAGGATAATCGAACAAGCCAATATCATATATCATCGTATTATTTCCATTTTTAATTTCTAATAACTTGTCTTTTTTTAGGAAAGGTATTAAAACAGGTAAGATTTTTGTATGATTTATTATATCAATATCGTCTCTGAAGGGATTACTCCATAAAAATTTAATACCATTCTCACACCAATTATGGTTTACTTGGATTATTGAATATAATACGCTAGCATCTTCAATATAACTAAAGATATGTTGTAAAGTTTCGTTCGCTAGCTTGGAAACCATTTTGATAATTTTGATATTATAAGTAATAGTTTGATGGAGAAAAGTAAGGAGAGAGTAAGGAGATGAATTTGAAGATCAATCTCCATTTTATAAAATTATGAAATCATGTGAAAATTTAACAATATCAACAACAATAATAACGCGCTTTAAATTTAATTTAAATATCTTACTAATTACTGATCCAATTTTAATTTCTAATGCCTAATTTTTCACATGCGTCAGAAATTTATGTACGACATATACTTAAACACGACAATTGATAGTGTTTATTATAGCAAAAATAAAATTAAATTAATTAAATTAAAAACAATTGGAAAAATTTATCACTTTTTCATTAACATATTTTCTAATAATATTTTTGTGATTTGCTGTAATATAACTATAATTATTATAATCATTATAAATTATTTCAAAATCAACCGGATCTCTCCCTTTCCAACTATCAAAAAATCTTTCAAACCCACCAACCGAAAACATCCAAGTTTCGCTAAGATGAATTTCCTTTAACGTAAATGGAGAATATTTGATTATAATATCTAATATCTCATCCCCCATCTTTTCAGCCTTTGGATGTAAACAATCTAATCTTAAATATTCTAAATAATTACAATTAATTAATAATTCTTTTAAATATTTTAAACCTACAAGATCAAGATGTGTTGTTAACTTTTCAATCTTTGGACATTTTCTAGAAATTGTTTTAATAAGTAACCCTGCGTTCTCAGCATTTTCATTTTTTGTATAAATATTAATTTCTAATATGTTTCCTTTACTTTTTTCAATTAATAATGATAATTCTTTGAAACATGATAAATGTTCGATCTCAAGATATTGAAGATCAGGAAATTCCAAAATTTTCAAATACCGTTGAAATTCTTCGATTTCTTTATCATATTCATTATTCGAATAATTATAAAATAATCCCTTCTCTAATTTAATAAATGATGTTAAGATTAAAGGCGAAACACAATTAACTGGACTTAAATAAAGTTCAGTTATTGTTTTTGCTTTTTTTCTCATTGCTTTACTTAGCTCTTTGTCAATCCCTTTAAATTCTTCATAATGAATCGATAAACTTTTTAGATTCCTTTGAACATCAATTAAAATTACCAATCCGGGAACATCTTGAATACAATTATGAAGAGTTAATTTCTCTATACCTTTACAAATTTGTGCCATCCCATATAAGGCATCAGATTTTACGAAATCAACGTCAACATATAAATCACGGAGTGAAGAGAAGCACGTTGATGCACCGGAAAATAAAGACAAAGGTTGTGTGTTATCCCAATCTAATTTTTTAATATTTTTACATTGACTAACAAATAATTTAAAGATTTCTTGTTTCAATAGATCTCTCTTCATTTGTTTTAATGAGGAGTAATCATCTACAAGAACCATTTCAATCATTTTATATACAATACTATTATTTGGAAATGTACAAAAACTAATATATTTAAACAAAGGTTGACCTGTCATTAAAGATAATTGTAATTTCACACCATTATCAATTAAAAGTTGTTTTGAAGATATTGGCAAACAAAAAAGTATTGTGTTGAAAAGTTTTCTTTCAGATTTTTCATCATTATACCATGTAACTTTCCATAGGATTGGTACTACTATACGACACCATTCTCTATTAACCAGAATACAAGAATATAAAGATTTTTTATCATACTGTAATTTATCGAAAATAAGTATAAGAATATCCGGGTTGAGTCTCGACATCCTTTTTTTTTATTATTATCGAATTATGAGAGAGAAAGAGAGAGAGAAAAGAAGGTTGAAAAAAATAAGGGAATTATGAATTAGTTATCTCATTGATGACTTAGTTATGATTTTTAAATATAACTAATTACGATACAATTATTTCATTTTTTTTTATTGGTCCATTCTCACGTAAACTTGTATTTTTCAAGAAATTGAAGATCATTTTTTATTATTAACGTTAAAATTATTTCGTACGAAAAATTAGTTTTTCTACTATTTTAAAGAAAATTCTAGACTCTAATCAATACAAATTTGCATTTAAACTTACTGAGAGAGAGAAAGGATATACTGCAAATATACTAAATATACTGTAAATTACAAACAACGTATTCTTTATTCATTAAATCTCCAGGATATTCATCGATCGCGAAGGGAGGAGAAAGAAAAAACAAAATTCTTGTGAGAAAACCATTCCTTAAGAAGTCAAGAGAAGAATCTCAAGAGAATACGTTCACACGAAGAACTTTTTGTAAATAAGGATTGGACTAACGATAATATAAATGGTCATATGTCATAAAAATTATTTTTTAATTCAAAATATACGTGGACGAAAAAATATTTTATTTTATTTTTTTCTAGAAAAAACTGCGTTATATTAGCTAATGAGACAAGCGTATTTACAGTCTACTTATTTATTATTTAAAATCTATTTATTTATTATTAAAATCCTATTATATTAGGAACAAATAAAATTCTTTAATCCCTTAATTAATTAAAACCAATACTATCAGATCCCTCCATAAACATAGTTTAAGTTTAATAACCCCACAAGACATAAACCTTACAACAATCATCTTCCTGTTTATAAAAATCCAACATCATCTTTCTTTTCTCTTCCGTCCATCTTTTAACGAACTCCTCACACTCATCAATATTACTAATATCATTAATTGGTGAGAAATTGATCATAAAATATATCAATTCATCTACTTTACAATTCTCTAAAAATTCCTTATATTCATTGACACTATTTATTAGGTTTGAAAGATATATAGAATTAACCGTTCTAGGTAAAGACTTTGCCAATTCTATGATAAATCCAGTATTAACATTAGAAAAATATAACGTCGGAAGTGTTAAGCGAAGATCTTTAAGCTTTAAATTATTTTTAAGGATAGTGAATAAGGATGATATATCATTATCCGCAGTGATTATTGTAAAAAAGTTCACCAAGTTTCTGCAATTTTCACCAATTACTTCTAATAGATTATGATTTTCTATAAAAATGTTTTCTATGACAAGTTCTACTAAATTTTTTAAAATTATTTTATTTTGAGAAATTACTCGAATAGGATTTGTTATCTTAACAATTTCTTCATTACTGCTTACATTAACAATCTCCAAAGAACATAATTTCGGTAATTCTGCTAAAGCAATCCATTCAAAATTTTTAGATGAAATATAAGAATCTTCTAATTTTAAAATTTCTAGATTTTTACATTTACATAAAAACGAAAATGTTTCATCATTAATTATAATTAAACCACATATTTCAATTTTTTTAATGGAATGAGAAACTGATTTCAAAGATGAGATTATCCCATACATAATTTCCTCATAATTTGGATTCAATGGATTATTGAATATTCCAGCAATTCGTATTTCTTCAAGATTATACTGATTTTTTATTAAAGATATCAACGGTCTTTGAATTATTTGAAAGTAACGTTCATCAATTTTAATAACTTTCAAGTTTTTGCAAACATTTGATAAAATTTCCAAGGTAGGAAGCTTGAAAGATAATTGACCGCATTCTAAATATTCTAAATTCATGAATAAAATTTTTGTCTTGTCCAATTTTAGATTAGCGATAAGATATTCTTCAATTTTGGTAACAGTATCCCTAATAATGTCGGAACTTAATGATATCCCATCAGGATCATCCTCATTATTTTCTCTGTTATGTAATAATTTTTTAATATCATCATTTTTTAAATCTATTTTAAGCCATTTAATGTTAGCACTTCCATTTGCTAAAATTGTTAAAATTATTGAAATTACTGTTAGAATTTGTTTTAATTTCGAATTTTCATTCTGAGAACACACGAATAGAGACGAGGCTCCAGGACGGAATTGTTCCATAAATTCTGTTGCGCATTTTATATCTTGTTTGTTTCTTTCAAAAAATGTTAAGACAATTCTAAACAAATTATCAAAATCTAAATGTGTAATAAAACAATGATAATAAAATAAAGTGTCAGAAGTTATAATATTATCTCTCTTCAAGTTAGGTATTAAAATAGGTAAGATTTTTGTACGATTTATTAAGTGTAAATTATTTCTATGAGGATTTTCATAAGAGTTCTTAAAAGGGTTCTTCCATAAAAATTTAATTCCATTTTCACACCAAGTATGATTTACTTGTATGATTGAATATAAAGTGTTAGTATCTTTTATATAACTAAATATATGTTGTAAACTTTCGTTCGGTAAGTTCGAAACCATTTTAATACGATCAAAAGGGCTGTGTGAAGACGAAAAAAAAAAAAAAAAAAAAAAAATTGAAATGATCGGGAAAACATTTAAAAAAAATTTGTGTAAAAAGCCCAATGTTACACGGATATATTCGATTTAATTACGTCATTATTTATTCTTTTTTTCAGCTAACTAAAATAATGCGTTTCCTTCTCCGATTGGGCATACGCGCATGAATCATAGTCTGTGTTTCGAAAAAGTGTATCGCTATGGTTGGCCGAGTTCATGTAAAGAAATGGTTACCTAAGTTTTACCTAAGTTACCTAAGGAGATAATTAACTAGTGATCTACAACAATTGAAAATTTTACAAAAAAAAAAAATCATAATAATTCTAACTGAAATTAAAGACTCGACTAGAATTATGCATAATCATACTGCAAATATATATCATATTGAATACATTTTTGTATTAATAAAGAAAATGATTCAGTAATTCATAATAAAAAACGGAAATGATCGTTTTTTAATATATGAGTCAGCAGATAGAAACTAATTTTGTGCAACGCTTTTTGTATTTTAATTATTCCACTTCATTATTAACACTATAATTTCTTAAAATGATTTATAGACAGGTGAACAGATTTATTTGACAGGTTTCATAACCAGCTAATTCATTTCCTTGAGATAAATTATAGTTCTTGAATTGGGAGGGTAAAATATTCACCCCTACGGGTAACCGATATTTTTTACTCTCCCATCCAATAACTGTACTGTATTATTAATTTATTATGCATGCCACTCCAAGATCATGCCTAATTTTAACAGTTTTTAATATAAAAAGTAATTTTTTTAATTAACGTATTATAAATATTTTAATCTCTCCCTTTTTACTGGCAAAAATAACGGTCTGCCAAGATCGGCATAATAAATAATAGTAATTGGGTAAATATTATCGAACTGCAGATAAATAAGGTATAATCAAAGAATCCATGGAATGTATAGATCATATGGTTACGGTACATTTCGCCTAAAGCCATTTCGCCGAAAGGACGTTTCGCCGAAAAATAGGGCCAACATTATGCCAGAGATTATTTTTCGGCGAAATGGCTTTCGGCGAAATGTCCCGATACCCATATGATGGGTTATGTGTTATACTTCCAAAAGTAATATTATTTTTCTCATGAATTTCTACTCTATTATTTAATCGTCCAGTTCTACCTGTTGAACTAATGGTGAATTTTTGCTAAAAACTATTGTATCGATTATCTCTTTTATAAGACGATGTTTTATTTCTTTAAGCATGTGGTCATGTATTATTTGTCTGTAAATTCTATAAACGAAGTTTAATATACGTAACAAATATCATGAGTGAAAGACACGTATACTATCTGTAATATAAATGTCCGATATTCAAAATAAGATAGATAAAATTCTTTTTTCTTAATTTTCAAAAAGTATCAATTGAATACTTATATACCTCGATTTAGGCTATCCCATTTTCATTTCTTAACACCGACCCATTAAGCTACCCATTAATTTGAATTAAGGATATGGAGAGAACAAATTTCAATAATATCTTGCAATTTTTGAAATATTAATATTTTAAAAGATTAACTTTTAGTAAAGAAGCATATTATAAACAAATAATTAAAGCGATTGCTGACACAGTAATTACTTAAATATTGATGCTTAGACAACACGTCAATGTTCCTAAAAATAATGATAAAGGTTACGAAGCTTACCAGTTAATAGAATTTGAACCGGATTTATTATATATCCGTTTCATTCGGATTATTCGTGAAACGAACCTTCGTTATAGACGGATTTATTATATCCAGTTCCTTCGTTTTATTCGAATTTTAATTCGAATCGGGGAAAATCTGGATTTAGATCTGAAGGTCGAATACCGTCATCTGCAATATCAGAACTATTAATATATAGACAATTTCTATTTGCTTTTGAATTTTGAAATTAATATAATAAATCTATCGAATAACAACCAATTCTTCATTGTATGTCTGCTTGTAATTCATTGGAAATAAAATTAAGAAAGTCTACATTAAATTTTTTTTCTGGAAAGATTTAATATGAAGAGCGTAAATTTTTTTAGAAGAGAAACAAGATTTCTTACTCAAAACTTGACTTTTTTATCGCGAGATCCTCTTTGCTTTAACTAAAACTAACTTCAAAATCTATAAAATCTATTGGAACTGTTTCTTCATTTAGATTGAACTTATATTTATAGAAAATTTGTTTCAAAAACAATTTGTTTTTAAATTTATAATTAAAACGTTAAAGTGCTTTTGAACTTATAAATTTTATTATTATAATCTTTTTGCTAATACAATATCACGATCAACGAAAAAATTTCAAAATAAAATTCGTACTTTACAGTGTGTAAAAACTTTCGAATTTTTTTATTATAATTAAAGGATGTAACTTTTTCGCAGTTAAAAGTTTGTAATTTTTTTTTTTTTTCGTTACATTGTAATTTGTAATCTGTTATTGTAGTTCCTTTGGTGAAAATACAACCATTCATCTCCTTATATTGTACGTTATAAATTCTAAATATCAAATATTGAATTGTGAAGTTTGATAATCTCCTCTTTAAATATAAATAGTGATGTTGAGTCTAATGCTTTGCTATTTCTTTACATCTTCCTCTCCTATCATAAATGTTATATTTATAATTCCCTCAAAATTGAACGAATAAAATATATCACGTGATTCATTCGATCATAGATAAGGATGGGAACCGGCTCGCTACAGTCCGCTCCGATACTGAACCGATGCCCGACTTGAGCCAGTTCGAATTGGATGAGCCGGTTCCGGTTCCATAATGGATTATATAATGGTTTTGGTCAGTTCGGTCGGAACCGAAAGTACCGAACCGAACAGTATGGCTTCTTCTAAATAAGTAGTAGTCCTTGAATTAAATTAGAAGCGTCATAAGTGTCTAGGACTATTTGTCCCTTATTTATTAGTTCTTCAAGAGAAGCCTTAGATGAAGTTGCCGTAAAGGGTAAAGGAGAAGTTCCACCAGTAGGAGAAGACTCACTTGAAGCAGCAGGAATAGGTGGAGTAGATGAGCCATTTGTAACGAGCCGCTCAACTGCGAACCTTTTCTCATCCCTAATCATGGATCGCTTTACTGTTTGGTTGATCTGAACTACGGTTCATCTGGTTCGGTTCAGGGTGTGAGCGAACTGCTGAGCGACTCACTTAACGTTAACGAAGAATATAGCAAAAATAACTAAGATCATTGGATCGTTCGATAACAAAATGGCAAGTAAACATCGAAATTTCTTTTAAAATTATTTATTGCATACATAATTAAATACATTTTAAAATTTAGTAATTAGTAGAGGTGAGCCTATTAGCTATTTTCCATATATAATATCAGCCGTCAGATCATTTTAAATAACAAAACTCTTTTATGATATTACATTATCAACGAATTGTACACTATATTTATATTCAAACTCAAATAAATTTAAACGTTTTATTAAATAAAAATAATAACCCTAATTCTAATCATTTGCAATTCCGACCACCGTACGTAAAATTTCGAAATGAATTTAATTTATTAATTACGAATTTCCATCCCATTTCTTATAACATATAAATTTATTTGATCAAGTGTTGACAACAATCTTTCATAATATCTAACAATAAATAAAATAATTAATTTTCTCGAATGTGAAGTCAAAAATTTTAAATTTGTATTAAATACTAAATTCAAAGTACATAAACATATAATAATAACAATTAAAACAGCACACTATCCAAAAATACGTTCCAAATTTCCAATCGATTATAATTCCCAATTAAGACATTAAACACTCATATTACACACACACATAACAATTAATTAATTTAACCTTTTTTAATAATTTGAAATACTTCATATTCTTCTATTTCAAAATAACCTTTCTCGGATCTTATAATTTTCTCGTAATTAATATTTTGACAATAACCGGAAATACTCCCCATAATTTCTTTGAGATAAAATAATAGATCATTACCAAAACGTGGACCATATTCGTCAGAGAATGAAATTGCACATTCGGAATTTACTATTCTACTTAAAATAACGCTTTTGAGATTGTTTAACGGGATAAAAAATATAAAACTATTCCTTGTATTATGAGAAAAACCAGGTTCCCATGTTTTAGGATTATATCCTCCAAGAATTTCGTTTGTTCCTTTCACTTTAGTTATAATCACAGTATTTAATTTATTACCACAATGTTCAAGAAAGTTTTTAGTATAGAATCCATCACGACTTCCACGTAATAATAATTTAAATTCGTATGGATTATTAGAAAAATCATAAGGCGTAAAACCATGAGTAGGATGATCGTTCTCTTTTTTATCTATCCAACTTGCAATATATGATACAATTTTATTTGTAATTAATCTTGAATCCTTTAAAACTCTTGCTGGTAATATTGTTGAAATTATCTGACTATCACCATCCAAATAATAACTCATTAAATCATTATAAAGTTGAGGTTTTAAAAGTTTTTGATAAGGTACCACTTTTTTCAAAAATTCTTTTGATGATAATTGAAAAAATCTAACAAATGGCAAACATTTTTGTAAAGTAATTCCCATTGATTTAAAATCATTATCCGACCAAGTTTCAGGTTCTGGAAGTAATGTAGGATTTTGTGCAAGTCCCCATTTTAATACGTGATCCAAAATATCAATTTCTTCCATCTTTAAATCATCGCGTTTAATTAAAGTGATTAAAGTTTTTTCTTGAATAGAAGTAAAATTGAATGAATTAAATATTTTCTCGGGATAATTTGACATAAAATCTGTGAAAAAATTTTGAAGTTCAACGAAAGAAGCATGTTGAAAAATTGAGTTATGAATAAGAGTAAAATTTTCTTGCATCCAATTAGATTTGGTTTTAATCAAATATGATTGTAGATAATTGACTATTTCTTGTAATTTAAGAATCTCGGAAGCAATTAAAACATCAATTATCTCCAAGGTATTAATATTATCCAAGGTAAGAATTCCTCCATAAATATACCTTTTTAAAAAAATTCAATTATATTAAATATATTAAATTGATTAGTTATATAAGCTAAAACAAAATCAACTCGTTAAAGAACTTACTTTAAAATAATTTGAAATGTATTAGGTGAGATATCTGATAATTTAATATGAGCCAAATTACCATTGAAATTGTTTCTATTTGTAGATAAATTTCTTCGAAAATAAGCTGAACGATAATTTAAAATAATCATATGTGCTCGAAATACTTTCACTACAGGGTCCCTTCCAACTTCAATAGTAATATCATAATATTCATCATCATCTAAAATATTTATAAAATTTTGTGATAATTGAGAAAAAAATTGGGTTGTCATTATGGTATGTCGGTTGAAAACCAAAATTTCGGAGAAGAGAATTACTGTACGTACCGTAAATAAACAATAATGTTAAATTGATGACCATGTGATGATATCCAATATAAGCTATGCGATTATTGTGGCACGTGTAAATTTCGTTAAACAATCTTACATACGAAAGTTTGTATCACTGTCACGTTTGATCACCATCTATTAACGTAAAAAAAAATGTAATGGAACTAGTATGGTACGAATATATTAATTAGACATAAAATATAATAATTATTGTTTTTCATAGCACCATATAGTCTTGTACCATCATAAAAAATTGTGGCCCATATCTTTTAATCGCATAACTCGAATATAACATATTTAAGATTCATAAATATAAAGGAAAATATAAAACTATGAATAATTTGACCCTATAAATAGTTTTATTGCCTATATTAAATGGGTCATACCCTCTAATGATTTATTGGTTCCTTTCATTTTAACCATTGTAAAGATTTAAGATTGATATTGCAAAGTTTATGAAAGTTTCGATATCAATATATGCTGCAATTTTTATTTAATTAATTTTGAAACCCTTTGATGGATTGTTAATTAGTCTCGCTGTAAATTGTTGAAATATTTTTATCATCACTATCAACATAACAATTTATCAAATCTTCATAAAGTTGAGATTTCTAAAGCCTTTTATAAGGTCAAACTTTTTCATGAATTTTTTTGATGTGAAATTATCATTTTCCAATTATAAGTTTGGAAATAATATAGGACATCGTATAGTCCTCGTTTCAATGACCTATTAAACAAAGATTTTATCAGACCTCTTATCAAAATCAATTGTTTATTATTATTAAAGAAGAAATTCGGAGATTACTAGAAACTGGCCTAATAACTCCATCTAACAGTCTGTCCCCAAATATCAATAAGATTTTTCTGGAATTGGAGTGAAATCGAATGATTTAAACAAATTTTCAGGATATTGAAGCTCAATAAGAAAATCATGTTGAAAAATTGTATTATGAATAAGAGTAAATGTTCTTCATTCAATTAATTTCATTTTTTAATTAAATGCGATTGCAAATAATGAAATATTTCTTGCAATTTTAGGTTCTCTGCGATTACAATAAATCAATTATATCTGAAGATTCGATTCTATCCAAGGTAAGAATGCCGCCATAAATATATTTATTAAATCATTGAAATTAGTTAAATGAAAATACGGTTGTTCTTGTCCTTAGATAATTTACTTTAAAAATGATTTGAAAGATATTTGAGGTAATTGTGGGTAATCTAATATGTATTAAATCCGTTCAGAATTCATTTTATTGTAATAAATTTCTAAGATATGCAGTATTACAAGGTCTTTACATTCCTTATCAGTGATTCTGTTGACTAAATAGGATAAATATCCAATCCATGTTGCTTTGTTACTATTAGACTCAATTCCTTTTCTGTTCATAATTATTGTATTTTAAATAGCTCTATAATTGTCCATGTAGAGAAATAATTATTGGAATAAATGAAAATTTATTAGTGTGATCACAAAATCATCTAATTTCTACTGCCACAATCTTGTAATTCTTCCTTACTTTACTTTTTGTAAATATTAAACATTTTTAATAATTTGAAATACTTCATATTCTTCCAAATCAAAAAAACCTTTTTCAGGTCTTAAACCTTTTTCATAGTTCAGTTTATCACAATATCCAATCGCACCGGCTCCAATGTAAAAGTCATCACCAAAACATATGCAATATTCCACATTGGATGAAAATGCTCTATGATGATTTATTACTCTACTTAAAATGACATCATTAAGGTTCATGAATGTAAAGGAAAATATAAAACTCTCATTAGATTCTGAATACTCAAAATTATCCTTAGATTCCCATATAAGAGGGTTATACCCTCCAAGAATTTCACTAGTTCCTTTCACCTTAGCAATTGTTATAGTTTTAGCCTTATTATCACAGAGTTTATGAAAACTTTCAGAAGAAAATCCATCACGACTTCCACGTAATAATAATTTAAATTCATAAGGATTATCCAAAGAACTATAAGGTCTAAATCTATAAATAGGATGTTGATTCTCTTTTTTATCAATCCAACTTGCAATATATGCTGCAGTTTTACTTGTAATTAATTTTGAATCAATAATTGAACCCCTTGCCGATTGAATTGTTGAAATGATCTTGTTATCACCATCCAAATGATAATTCATTAAATCTTTATAAAGTTGAGGATCCAAAAGTTTTTGATAAGGAAATACTTTATTCAGGAATTCTTTTGATGATAGATAAAAAAATCTAACAAAAGGTAAACAATTTTGTAAACTCTTTTCCATTAATTTGAAATCGTCATCAGACCATTCTTCTGGATCAGGAAGCAAAGAAGGATTTTGTGCAAGTCCCCATTTTAATACATGATCCCAAACATCAATTTCTTCTACTTTTAAATCATTTCGTTTAATTAAAGAAATTAATGATTTTTCTGAAATAGAATTGTAATCAAGTGATTTAGATAATTTTTCAGGATTTTTAGAGATAATATCTGTGCAAAATTTTTGTAGCTCAATAAAAGAATTATGTTGGAAAATTTTGTTATAAACAAGATTAAAATGTTCTTTCACCCAATTAGTTTCATTTTCAATAAAATATGATTGTAAATAATTAACTATTTCTTGTAATTTTAGACTTTCAGCCGCAATTAATAAATTGATTACATCTATAGGATCAATTCCATCCAGATTAAGGATTCCACCATAAATATATCTAAAAAAAAATCATCCAAGTGAGTTAATTAATTCTAGAAGGTTTGAATAATCTTAAATCAACTTACTTCAAAATAATCTGAAATATATTGGGTGAAATATTAGGTAATTTAATATTAGTTAATTTATCCTCATTATTCTTTTTATTAGTTGATAAATTTCTACGAAAATGAACTGAACGATAATTTAAAATAACCATATGTGATCGAAATACTTTCACTTCTGGATCTTGTCCAACCTCAATTATAACATCATAATATTTATCATCATCTAAAATATCAATAAAATTTTGCGATAATTGTGAAAAAAATTGGTTTGCCATTATTTATTTTAAAAAAAAGTTCCCAACGAAAGACTATATTCAAAAAATGCGGCGATACATCAAATTTACAATTTTGGGCTAAATGTAACACAGCATTTTTTTTATAGAACTATACATTGGCGATTCTTGTGGAACTATTTTTTTTTAGATCTTAAATCTTAATTATAATACTTTGGCATTATGGTACAGCACTTAATATTAAGATATTTATTACATAGTGCAGTACACAAAGATTTAGCTGAAGATTTAAAAGGAATTACTAAGGGAAGCCACAGATTCTTAAATTATGAATCGTTTTTTACAAGTAAACTAATTCAATCAGTGCCATGAAGTTACCACAATGAGTAAAAATCACCGAAAATGACGTGTTAAGATACGAAATGTAATGAACTACAATAACTGAAACCTATTTTTCTGTCGACCATAAAATTAATTCCCGAGAAATAAACTTTATCTTTAATCCAATGACTTGTGATATTTTATTTATATAGTAAATAATAGAACTACGTGTAAGTACATGGATAATATTAAATTTATCTTTTCACAATTTGAAATACTTCATAATCTTCCAAGTCAAAATCACCCTCTTCAGACCTTATAACTTTTTCGTAGTTTAGCCTACTACAATAACCTTTAGAACCCGTTACAATGAGGTTATTAAAAAAGCATAAACAAGACTCCTTATTAGACGCAATCGCATAATCTGAATTCTTTACTCTACTTAAAATGGTATCTTTGAGAAGGTTTGTAGACGTAAAAGAAAATGTAAAACTATCATTAGTTTGTGAAAATTTATGATTACAAGATTCCCATATAAGAGGATTATAACCTCCAAGAATTTCTTCGGTTTCTTTCACTTTAACAATTGATATAGTTTTAGGCTTATTATCACAAAGTCTATGAAAACTATCAGGAGAAAATCCATCACGACTTCCACGTAACAGTAATTTAAATTCATAAGGATTATCAAAAGAATTATAAGGTGTGAATCCATAAATAGGATGTTCGTTCTCTTTTTTATCAATCCAACTTGCAATATATAATGCAGCTTTATTTGTAATTAATTTTGAATCAATATTAAAACCCCTAGCCGGTTGAATTGTTGAAATGATCTTATTATCGCCATCCAAATGATAACTCATTAAATCTTTATAAAGTTTAGGATTCAAAAGTTTTTGATAAGGAACCACTTTATTCAAGAATTCTTTCGATGATAATTGAAAAAATCTAACTAAAGGTAAACATTTTTGTAAACTCTTTTCCATTAATTTGAAATCGTCATCAGACCATTCTTCTGGATCAGGAAGCAAAGAAGAATTTTGTGCAAGTCCCCATTTTAATACATGATCCCAAACATCAATTTCTTCCATTTTTAAATAATCTTGTTCAATTAAGGAAATTAATGATTTTTCTGGAATAGAAGTGAAATCAAGTGAATTAAATATTTTTTCAGGATAATTCGTCATAATATCTGTGCAAAATTTTTGTAGCTCAGTAAAAGAATCATGTTGAAAACTTGTATTATGAATGAAAGTAAAATTTTCTTCCATCCATGATGATTTATTTTCAATTAAATATAATTGTAGATAATTAACTATTTCTTGCAATTTTAAGTTTTCTGCTGCAACCAACAAATGGATAATATCTGAAAGTTCAATTTCATCAAAGGAGAGGATTCCACCATACATATATCTAGAAGAATTTAATCGTATTAAATTATTAAATTATAGAAAATTTTAATCATAAAGAACTAATTTTTCGCTATCGGAAACAACTTACTTTAAAATAATTTGAAAAATATCGGGAAAAATATTTGGTAATTTTATATGAGTCAAGACACCATCGGAATTCTTTTTATTTTTAAATAAATTTTTACGAAAATAAGCTGAACGATAATTTAAAATAACCATATGTGACCGAAATATTTTCACTTTAGGATCTTGTCCAACTTCAATTGTAACATCATAATATTCATCATCGTCTAAAATTTCAGTAAAATTTTGCGATAATTGCGAAAAAAATTGGGTTGCCATTATTTTTTCTTGAATAGTAAAATAAACTAAAACATTGAAAATAAAAATCAATTAAATATTTATATACGAAAATCAAAATGCAGTGTCACATCAAAATTTAGACTATTTTGTGATGTAACACGACTATCTTAATCTTGGCTATCATTTTTTTAGACCAAATTAATGTAAACATTTGACCAAAATGATTTAAACAATTAATCCGTAAAAAGTGCAAAGGAATGGAAATTTCAGAATGGATCTATAATAATATCAAAATCAAATGGAGGGTTGAAAAATATGGATGGAGTTGCGAGATTAGAGCAGGATTATGGGCAAGTTCAAAGTAATATTCCTCTTAAGGTCATAATATGTACAATTTAATTTAAAAAAATTTAAAATTGAAGCTCAAAATAAAATTATCCTTAGTAGAATTGTATTTTTAAACTTTAAATACAACAAATTTAATGGTCATTATAATTAATTGCAGATTTAATTTACAGTTCTCTAGCAACAGAAAGATGCAATGGATATCATTTGACAATACTGAATAATTTTTTTTTGATAATAATTTATGAAACACCTAATAATAATGAAAAACCGGTAATTTGATTAAAGTATGAATAATGAAATTCTCATGTATCAGATTCTTGTTTGTAGAAAAAACATCAACAAAAAGAAATGCTATTAAGTATCTAAAATTACTCTAGTTATAATAAAGCTTATAATCTTTATATACAGTAAATAGGTTTCAAAATTAAATTTAAACAGTCATATTTGTATAAGCTCTACGATCAAATGCTGATAAAGTAAATTTCAAGAATGGTAATATGTCGTATTATTTTGAAACGTCCACTCAATTCTTCCCTGTTAGTAGCTAACTATTTGATCTGGCATTGCAGGAAAGCTTGATGCAGTTATTTGTCCCCGTGATTCAACCTCTATACGACTGTCAATGGTTTCGCTGCAAACAAACTTGGTCGAGAAAGATTAATGGAGTATGTCAACTAGGCATTCGTTCGGGGAAATAAACAAAAGTTAGCCCGTATTTTCTTTTCGATTGCATCATAAAATCATGTAGGTATTTCGATAAATATTGTGAATTACATCGCTTATACATTCACCTTTATTATTGTAATTTTTTCTTGACACTGGGTTTAATTTGGCGATCAGTTCATGTTTGGTCTGATATCATGTGATAAATATCACACTTGAAAGCTTACAGTTTATTATAAATTCATACATAAATATAAACTAAAAAATACATAATAATAAGAATACTATTTTTTAAATATATAACATCTGAATCAAGGATTAATCTTATATATAATTGTCTATATGCGTTATCTAATTTTCTAAGATGAATATCAAGTTTTGAGATGGACGCGTCTGATGAATTGTTATTACAAAGTATAGAAGTGCACGATGAAATTTATCTATTTTACTGATCAATTTTCACCCGCTTCCTATAAATCAATGATTCTTTTTGCTGGTCAAATGGAAACTTGTGTTATCACCCAGTTGAGGCAATTAAACTTAAGTACGTTTATTCTAAGCTCGGTTACATGAAATAATTATTTCTCCCATTTCATTTACCCAACCAATAGGTCCCTTTCCGTAACTGCCACGCTATATAGAATCGCCAAAATAAACTGGATAGCCCTTTTGCAATAGTGATAGTACCTTTATGCATTCTCAGAAAATCTTCAATAATACAGTTTCTAATCCCTTCTGGCATTGCTGAACCTCTTATCTCAATACATGGTAATTGATAATAGCTGTCAGCTTTTAGAATCTTAACCTTTGAAAAAGCCTACGAAGAAAGAGGTTGTTGCACTATTAAATTGTAGAATACCGACACGCTATGCGGATGTTCAACATTCTAAAAGTATTTTAAACTTCGTGAACTTCGTTGTTATGTCAAATATTACCATCTTTTATTATGTGAAAAATCCGTTTAATCATGCTTCGATCCCATCATAGGTAATGTCCGGTTTTCCACTCCACAAACCGATTGTTTCGCTTCCAGCAACGTAAAAAAAAATATCTATATACAATAGTAAGTGAGGTGCGACGGTTGATTGATGATATACACAAAGGCATTGCCCATATCAAACTTAGCAAAATGCCCGGACGATGCAACTAATGCACTTGAACCCTTCGGTGAATACAGAGTCGACTTCTGCAGAGCTAAGGCGTACACTTATATTGGTTGTGCCGGGAACAGGACATTAATGCGACGTACGTGAATTGTTTGAAGTGTGCGGAATGTGAAGTGTCGTGTACCTTTATACACTAACTTTAATTATATATATTATACAAAGAAATATAAGACAAATATATAAAAGGATATTTTATTATATATAAAAGTTGTTAAAGAGAAATTACTAAAAAATAATTTATCGCAATTTTTTGTGGCTTTGTAGTAGTGATTTACTCGTGACCCTGGGAATGATTATATATAAAATTTTACTATAATGATTTGCAACAAGATGCTTAATGACTCTTCTCATTTCCATGATACCGACGATATCACCAAGTTCGAGAATGTCAACAACCTATGCAAACGTTAAACGTTCAGTTAAAAAGTATTACGATAAAAAAAAAAAGGAAAAAACAAATCGATAGAAATAATTAAAATTCCTTTAAAATAAATAAAAAATAGAGAATTCTTTCTTTAAAAAGTATGTGATGATACTGCATATAATATTCAACTTTCTTCTATTATATAAAATATTAGGAAATTAAGTTTATGAATTACATAACATTCATTACTCAGAAGCAATAGAGAGTCTAAGAATTAAGACCAAACAGTATTGCTTTTTTATTTGATCAATCTCGTATTTTAGTTTTGGATTGTGAAAACAATTATTAAAAGTACTAGCAAGTTTAGCATTTATCATTTTTGGATAATTTAAAATTTGGATTTTTTCATTTCTTTGGAGCTTGAGGAATTCTTTGAAAGTTAGAAAAGTAATCTATATTGATGAATATACGAAATTAGTAATAAATATGAATAATATTATGGAGTGATCGGTGATTTAGATGTGTTTCTTGCAATTTGATAATCAGTTACAAAGATAGAAACCGGTATTGTAAAAATAATTAGCAGTGAACTGCGGAGGGTTTCACTTATTTACGAAATTTCTTTCTTTTTTTTTTTTTGAATCTTTGATTTTATAATTTGTAGTGTATTAAGTAATATAAATAGTATAAAGACTTAGAATAGTGTAAAATATTGAAACATTTTTAAAGAAGACTTCAGAATAAACATATTAGTTTAAACGTATAATTTGGTTTTTATTTAAAGTTGAATGAATCAAAGAATAAGCGCGGGAAGATGAAGCCCTCATTTTTCCGTGAACGTTCATGATAGAAGTATGTATGTGGGAGAGAAAAATAGCGGTGATGTTCGCCGATCGCGAAATTAAAATCAGAATTGATAAAAGTGAGTTTTAGATTCAAGAGTAATTGCATATTCAAGGGATCAAACTCTAATCACCTCCTTCCAAAATAATTGCAAATTAAAATTGAATTATCCCTAATTTAGAGACGTTCACATATATCATATTGGGCACAGGTGTCAGTAAAGGACTAGGTGATATGGTCTATCTTTATATTGCCTATCCTGGATAGAAAAGAAGCTAAAAGCTCCTAAGGCTTTAATACCAACTTTACGACCCAAAAATTTAAGAAACTCTTCATTGACAAAAGTACTTCCGTAAAGACCTCCTGATTTAACTGTTACTTCCCGTAATTTGTTTACAACAGAGGACTATACCACTAGTACTATTTTATTCTTATTTATTATCATATTTGTTTTATACACAAGCACTTATCCCCACCATGACTGGGCCAAGTGTCCATTCCTCACCATTAATAACCGGATCAAAGGCCACTTGATGGATTAATCAATAATTTTTTTAAAAGTTCTGCCTTATCACTATTTTTATTAAAATCATCAAGAATTCATTCAACTTATCCAACCTTTGAAATATCACCTTGAATAGATTACGATCAAACGAATTACAATTAAAAATAAAATTAACAAGTAACGTTAAATATGGACAATTATCTATTAATAGAAGACAGATGGAATAGAAATGTAAAAGATTATATTTATTTTTTACTGTTATAGAAAAATAAATAAAGTATAATGTAGAAATTTTGATCAGGAGGTCGGTTATTAAATTTGACAAAATTAAATACTTTGGTACTTTGGTGATTTTGATGAATTAATGAACTATAGTTCCCGAGGAATTTTTTTTTCCGAAAGATCTCGACATGAATTTAGTAAAGGCTACGAAACTCTTCTATTTTCACATATAAGCCAATTTTCCTCCTCTGAATATGATATTTGATTATTTAAAAAAGAAAATATTAAAATAAATAACAGTCGATAACACTTGATAATGTTTATATAATTAATAAACTACTCACCGCATTACCGTCAAAATCATAATATCTATTATATTCTTTAATAGTATCGATCGACCGAAAATATTAGTGATCTTTAATCTCCATGTTATTCTAATGCAACGTGTTGACAGGGAACAGAAGCCCTAAAGATGAAGCTATATCAGTAGAAAAAAAAGAGAGAGAAACATAATATTATGAATAAAAAAAATTCCCTTCTTTGCTAATTATCACGCGCTACAAACTTAACTTCATTACTTACAGACAAAATCTTCATTCATCAAAAACGTTAAAATAATATTGCCGAAATCTAATTTGATTGTTAGGATAATTTTAATCTTTCGTATAAATGAACCCAAATTAAAAGTCAAGTCAAAATAATATCATCAAAAACATCTACATTGCATAACATGTCTTTTATTATGTAATATTACTAATTTTATTAGATTATGTTTGTAATAATAATAATAAAAATAATAATAGAATTTAAGTTTAATCCAATGTTTTCTAAAAATGCATATGTTCTTTATCAACAAATTTAAAATCTTTAATTACACCATCTTTCTTATATCTGTTGATTATTTCCGCATATTCCGCGAGATCTTCTTTAATGTAACCAAGATCACACGTGAATATAGAA